TGTGTTCGATCATACAACACGGTCTGAACACTTCAGGGCCGTAATGACGCTTAGCCATCAGCTGTAGTGTTTACGCTCCAGCTCGCTCAACAGACAGCCAATCACTGGCACCAAATTAGATTTCCTTTCATTTCTGAATCCCCCCTTGGGGCTGTATGATTCTGTTATCCAGCAAACACAAGCACGGCTCTCCGTCCTCGCTGATATTGCAGTCATACCGCCTTTGGACATGGGCGCAGATCGAGCAGCAAGTATTGAAACATTAAAAATGCAAACAAAAAAAAAGTGTTGCAACTCCTTTGTAGGTGTGTGCAACACAAAGAAAGGCTGTAAAGTTACAGGGTTGGTTAAAAAGTCACAGGCTTCTGAGCAGAATTTATTGTATTTTGTCTCGCCCCTGATGACAAGCGGCGTGATTAAGACACATTTTCTAATTGGCAAAGCTTCCAGTGATGGGTTTATTTAATGTGTTTGATGTCACTCCAGCTGCAATTTGCGGCGGCGCTGGAGCTGCACCATAAATCCCATAATCAATTTGTTGACGGTGTGATTGGTGTACACATGGAAAGGAGGCAGTAATGTCAGCCTCTCAGGTTCATGAGACTCCCAGGCTTCATATTTTCTCTCAATTCACATCCTATTAGAGATTCTGACCCTCCCCCTCCATCCTCACTCTGTGCTGTAGCTGCTCCTCTCATCCCCCCCATCCTCCCCTCCTCCCCCCTCTTTACACACACATCTCCCCTCTTTCCTACTTGCACACTTGCAAGCGCACACACATGCACTCGCTGCACTCTCTCTTTCCATCTCCCGCACTTTTACAAACACAGCTCACAGACTGGAGCGTATCTGTCTCTGTGTGTGCCTTCTTGGGCGGGGGGCGGTGGGGGTACTTGGGTTGCAGAGACACGAGGGAGGAAAAAAAGAGGGGAAATGAGAGGATGGTGACTAGAGAGTGAAAAAGAGAGAGAGATTTGAAGGCACATGTGTGCTTTCATGAGCACACAACTGAGTGAGCCCCCCCCAGCCCATCCTCTTTCCTTCTTTTAATTTTTCTCCCATTTGCAGGAAAGCACGTTTGGTGACAACAGCCCTGCAGACACAAAAGGTGAAGCGCCACGAAGACATTGTCAGGTAGGTAGAGAGCAGAATAATGGAATCAATACTATTGTCTGCAACCTACCTGCTGCTGGGCTCCCTGTCTGGCCCCGACAGAGACCATCAAGCGGAGAGAGAAAGAGAGAGAGAGAGAGACGAGAAGGGGAGGGAGCTGAGAGGAGAAACAGAATCACTCTGGCTGTGAGAGAAAGGAAAGGAAGAGGCTGACTCTGAGGTGAATACTTGTTTTATTTGCTTTCTCATTAAGGAAGATAATGCAGATAATTGGAACTTTTTTTATCTGCAACTTTTTTTCTCACTGCTAATGCATGTAAAGCCACTGACAGTAATCTAACAAGTAATTTGATTAAATATGCATGAAATTACTAAATTCTGTAAGTCTATGCATGTAGCAATTGTTTGCAATTCACTTGTTGTCAGTAATTATAGTGTCCAAGCTGCATTTGGTCTGTTTAAAGCTAACTTTGCACCTTTTCTTCCAAAAGAAATGACTGCGTAATATAATAGAATAGATTTGATGTTTCAGTATTGGCAGATGTTACGGTTCGATGTGTATTCTGTTCATTCATCATTGCAGAAACTTTGAGTATCTGCAAGTTGATCTTTGCACTTTCAATTTTTTTATTTTTTATTGTTTCATAAAATTTATTGTAAATATTTTAAAAAGAAAGTAAATGCACCATCAGGGCAGTTGTGACAAATGCCTTGTATCCCCTGTGGTGTGCTCCATGCAGCTGCTGTGCTGCACACATGCAACATTAACAAAGGAAGCCCTTCAAAATCCCACCTATGCATTCCCAAATCTTGGCCTGCAAGCTTATGAACTACAGCTGTTTCATAAAGCATGGAAGTCATGTTCAGTAGTTTGATTTGATGTAGAATATGATGTAGAATATATAAACTGTTACAGTTAACTTCTCCTCATGTGTTGTGTAAAGTGAAAAATAAATAAAATAAAATAAAATAAAACATGGTTACTTGATGGATTTAGCATGTAAAGTAATGGTTTCGCTCATAACCCCCCCACCCCCCAACGCCTTTGAACATATGCAGTCTTCAGCAGTCTGTCCATGTGCTTCCGTCTGTCTGCCAGTGGGTGGCATCATCTTCAAATGTTTCTACGCCATCCGTTATTTCTTTCATCAATGGAAACTAATGCAATGGTTTTACTACACCATAAGAAATCACTGAGATATTCCCTTTTTTGTTATTTGTTTTCCAAATAAAAAGTCCCAAACTTTTTAATTCAGTTAATGGTTTAGCAGCTGCAATTTGAAGCATCATGAAAAATGCAACATGCAGTGCCCTTCTATAGCTTTTATTAAAACAAATATATTTTCAATGTATATCTTTATAAAAACACTTGACATGTTTCCGCAGATATTATATAGTAGGTGACAAGTGTAAAGGTTCATTAAAGTTTAAAATGAGGCTAGTTTTGCATCTTTGAAAAATGTACTTTTTAGTTGTGATTGATTATATCAGATTGTATCTTTGCCTGTTCTTTATTTGATGTCTTTTACATTTAAGCAACTTCCTGGACTAAGAAAACCTATTAAACTGTGAATTAGCTTAATAAATCATGCTCCAGATGTTCATTATATTTACCAACATTTTAAAGATAATGTTTCTATTCGATTAATGCCTTTGTTGTGAATTTAATTGATTCATTAAAGAGATTGTCACCCTGCTTTGAAAAATGGTGTTCACGTCTGATTTGCTGCAATGCAAAACAAATGATTAGTGTGGAAGGGTTAATGTTGGTGTTCATGCAGCAGCTTTAATTGGACCATTTCGGGTTAATTTCTGATCCGCAGCGAAGCAGGAGACCAGGCCGGTGCCGCAGCAGAATCCAAATGTCAGATGAGGTCATGTCTTTGTCTCAGTGCTGCGGCTCTGCGGGTATTTCCATTAAGATCTTTGATTTTGTCTCTGTTTTTTCTTTTTTTCCCCCACACTAAGCAGCTGTATTTTAAAACCTCTTGGGGTTTTTTTTTTAAATTCATTTTACAGTATGCCCCTCTGTCCCTGAGACCCTTAACCTGTGAGGTTAAAGCAGGTCACAGGTGAGGTCCTCGGGAACAGGGCTGCATTCAGTTTCAGCGTTTTGCAAAATGTAGAAATATTTAACACTTAAATCATATTTCCTCTCCTCCATGAAAAGTCATCTGTTTTAGCCAAAAGGAAGGATCAAACAGTGCAGTATCACCGCGGGTCCAATCAGCAGATTGTTTCGAAGTTTATCATGCTACTATCAAGAGTCTTTCGACTGTGCAAGATGAGGAAGACTACATTTTCTGCAGCCTCAGACGCTCACAGGGGGCCAACCTATTGGCTGCCTTTGTGTTATTGCCTCTGATTGGGGGCCAATGGGAAGACAGCCGAGGGTTGTGACCCCGTCCATATATTTCAACTTTGGAGATGAAGCTCAAGTTTTCTTCAGTCTTAAGAATTGTTACATTTTTTTCTATGCCAATAAATCTCAAATAAAGTTGTTGTTTTTTTTGCGTACATGTGTGCCTATGAATTATTTAAACATCTCCCTTTAAAAAAGAGCTTTAAAATTGTCAACATGTAAATGATATGAAATGGATCACTGCCCACTTCTGTAGTCTAAATGCATCATCAAATTTAATCTACAATAGATCTCCAAAGTGTACAAAAATCACGATAAAATAGTAAGTATATATTAAGTTAAAAAACTTTGATAAATATTCTGATGTAAAATAACATTTTGTTGAAGCACGTTTTGATTTCATTTCTACTTTTAGCCTTCTTTGGGAGCAGAGCAGTGTTCCACTTCTCCAATATTTCTCCACAATCTAGCTTTAAAGTTCTCCACTTTTATCCGAGCTAAAGACCTTTACAGTTGAACTCTATCAAAGGGATTTTTTACTGTCACTAATATATTTTTTCTATTGACTATCCTATTTTTAATCCAAAGGGTTGGGGTCAGAACTCATGATTTAAGAAAGTTTGAATAGAAGAAACTCAAGTCAGATTCTGCCATATTCTGCCACCACTATATTTCATTGTAGCTGTGTTCTCCTGGCAAAGCTCGATGTGTGTTTTTTGTCAAATTTGGACCTTTTAAATCTTTTCTTCAGAAAATATCTTTTTATTTCATAGTTTTCCTTACACTGGAACAGTGGTCTTAAACTCTAGTCCTCAGGGGTTGGTGTACTGTAACTTATGGAGGTGTCCTTCAACACATCCTACTGACATATAGCTCATTAGCAGAGCTCTGTAGAACCAGACTGCATGCTAATGAGACAGTGCAGCCAATTGATTCAAATGTGTAGGGCAAGGATAACACTGAAAGTTGCAGAACATCAACCCAGGAAGATTAAAGTTTGACATAACTGGTGTAGACATATAGAAAACCCACAACTTTACACATCCAGAGGATGTATATTTGCTGTCTTGACTCTGCTATGGGAGGAGCAGTACTGCTTCCATCAAAGAAAAACATTTTCTTATCCAATAAATTCGTTAAAATTAGGAAAATTAGAAAACAATCAACTTTTGTATCGATTGAATGAGAGGAATTAGCTAAATGTCAGATAAACTCACACAAATACACTCCAGTTTATTTGGGGGTTTCCGTGTTCAGCCATCTGACTAACAATCAGACTTTGGCAGTCCTGGAGAACACTCTTGCTTGTTATTGATTGGCCTGTCTGTGCTGAGACAGATGAATGCATTAGTACCCAGCTCACCCCGCCACTGGAAATATATTAAGTTCATGTATTAGGCACCCTGTCTGGTTACCATGGAGATGCACTAGGAGCGAGGTATCGGGGAAAAGGATGGGGGGTGTGGAGGGATAAGGACGCAAGTGGGGGATACAGGCAGCGATGAGGTAGTGGAGTTGATTTGTAGTCCTACTCCCTCTTCGTTTATTTCTGTCTGTCACTCGTCTGATCTGACTACCACCCCCACTATGCTGTTTGTTTCATCACTTTCTTCTCTCTTTAACACCGTCTGAACTTTAACATGAAGAATATGTTATTTTCATCTCTCCCATTAATTTTCTTTATCTTTTGTTCTTCTTTCTCCTCCAGCTGGGCCTGACTGTTCATCTGTCACTTTCCAGAAATCTGGACATAAATTAAAATTCAAATATTTTCTCTGATTTTTCTCGCTGATACCCTTCTCACTTTTTCTTGACACGTACGTGAGCGTTCAACTCCCTTTTTATCTGCCCCTCTCCTCCTCATCTGCGCCACCTCCCTCCTCAGCTCACGCCATCTCTGTGCTCTGCAGTAAAACTGGTGCATTGAGGCAGCAGGAAATGGGGACTAGAGACAATAGAATGGAGAGAAGAACAGAAGGTTCTGTCTGCAAATGTCTGCAACTAGAAAAATTAGAATGCTGTTCTGTTTTGTCACCATGGAACCCAGGTTTGAATAAAAACAAACATTTAGTTACATTTTGAGCTCCTATTGAAAATGTGCAGGACTATTGTGTGGCTGGCAAGTGTTTGTTTGCTGATTTGCCCCTCTTTGAGCTGCTATGACTGCTTCATCGACGTCGAGGACAGTCTTCGGCTTTGCTGGGGTCACGTTCTGACAAACACCAACGTCAGAAACATGGACGAATGCTTCAGGAAGCTGGACCGCATATTTAACACCAACCAGACAGTGATAGAGGCTGGGAGAGTGGGTATGGGACATACTCTCTATATCATTAATTTCCACCAAAGCGATGCTGTGATGTGTGTCCCTGTCCAGGTGAAGGCTTCGACATCAAGCTGAAGGAGATCCTAGAGGCAGAGATTTTGCCCGTAGTGGAGGAGTTTGACCAAAACCTGAATATGGGTAAATAAAACACCTGCTCCAGCAGACAGTAAATGAGTTGAGGTCCAGAAATGGCACATTTCAGAAATTATGCCCTAAAGCATCCAATTCACCTAGATGTTTTGAGCCAAATATCCTCCTCCATCTATCAGACACTGTGTACGAGAGGAGGTTGCAGACAGCAGCAGACAATTTCATTGCAGCTGCCTCCAAACTGCCTAGAGGTGAGACATGGTCTCTTACACGTTTCCTTCATCTTTTCATCTGAAATTCACACCAGATCATCACCACTCCCTCTCTGATCTCTTTAATCTCTCTGTGATAATCTACTTACGTAATTACAGCCTTTAAATAATGTTGAAAGCAGTGCTGCACATGCATTAAGTCAAATTGTAAAATGTTTCGTTCTTTCCACAGTTTCTGGCTGCTTTCCTCCGTGTGGTGAGTGCATCCCTCATTCTTTTGTCTCTTTAATGAACTCAACCTGGTAAATAAAATCCTTCCCCTACTTTAGAGGCATGCTGTGCCTTTTAAAATCATTTATATACCTCGGGCATTTTCACCTTCTGTTGCATGACAGCCGTAAACTTCATGATTTGTTAGTAGTTTTACAACAAAATAGAACAAAGTAGAAGATAATTACATTAAAAAAATAGAGATAATGTGCTGTTTTTAAACAAACAAACAGAATATAACCTTTCTGGTGAGCTCATGATGAACCATGAGCTCACCAGACAAGGTCAAGGATAACATTTTGGAGACGTTTAGAGCAAAGTTGGGCTGTAAAATAGATCCCATCTAATACTCCCTGCATACTAGGGATGGGCGTTTATCGCATCGTTAAACGGTGTTGTAATACATTTCTAGCCATGATTATAATTTAGATTTATGGTCTAAATCATAAATCAGAATTAGTGATGATAGGAAAGGGTGAATTGTGAATTAGATTTTGTCATGTTTTTCCTCTTTAATTTTCTTCTATCTGGGGATTGGCAAAGTCAAAGAATATGGTTAAAGGCCGTTACTGAGGGGTGAGGTAAAATAAATGACACTTCTTTATGTAGCTGGTTGCCTGAAAAAATTGATTAAAATGTTTCAATTTTTTCCAATGTTGGCTTTGGCATGCATCTATAGCTACAGATAAGCAGTAACCAAAGAACGACTTCAAAGAACCGATTAAGAGTGTTTTTATCATCAAGCTTATCGTTATCAGAATATTGCCACTAAATATTGTGATAAGATTAAGACCATATGTTCCAGCTCTACTACATGCTGTTCAATGCATTATCTGAAAATGGAAAGAATGGCACAGCTGCCAGCCTACAGAGACTTAAAGTAGAATCTTCCACCACGGACGACTGCCCACAATCCTTTGCATGACAGGTTGTCTAGGCACAGACCACCTCTTGAAGTTTAACAAGATTAAATTATTTATTCACGTGAACTCTTTCTAACCCAATGCAAAGGTAGAGCTTCAGGTGTCAGTTTTACTTTGGGGTATCTTTTATTTTTTGTATTTCTTCTCTGGAACCCTCTATTCCCAATTTGACAATCATGATCTATGCGTGTGTCATTCAGATTTAGCACATAAGTCCAGAGTTCCTTTCCTACCCTGGAGATTGTTCTTACTGTTGAACCAAGGAAAGGTAAAGGGATAGCAGCTACACTAGGAGCAGGAAGTAGGACACAAAAGATAGTATTCGGGATCAGCTGCTTTTTTAAGCAGGTGTTGGCAGAGCTAGGTGTTGGTCTCCTCAGCCAATCAGCAGATTATTAGTTGTTCCTGCATAGACATAATTCACCACCTTTGATCCAAACAGTTCCCCTCTGACACAGAGGATGGCGGCAGTGATACTCCTAATTGTTAGTATAATAACCATAATCCCAGAAAAAAAATATAGTGATTTATTATTCACATCAACATACTAACATATTGATGATGACATAGATGACAATCACAGAATTTATGCTTTTTTTATTATAGAAAATTGTTATTGTATTATCAGACATGGATAAAAGTAATGTCTTCAAGTTACGTAGGAGTCTTCTATATCATAAGAGAAAAAAAAACATTAAAATCTAACCTGTCTTCAGTGATTTATTCAGTGATTTATTTTGAAAATACAGACATTATGCTTGCTCATTTTCCTGTGAGTACTGTGTGTTTAGTATATGTTGACCCATTGCATTCTTCAGCACACATTGTTCCTTTCCTGGTCACCCTGTGAACATTTCTTTGCTCCACCTCTACACACACCATTTTATTTTCTTTTTCACACATTTTATATTCTTTAGTTTAAATAACTGTCCAATGCAAATCTGATAGTGATCAAGAGGTTCATAAATATTTACAAAAATATATATATATATATTTGATGTTTTCTAGATATGATTAAATTGTTTCACGCTAACTGTGAGCTTTAGACTAGCTGGATTTATCCTAAATAAAGACGTCAAGAGATTTATCTCTTCAGCCTTAATACCTTTTTAATGAAACCTCACTTTAGAAATCTAGAACCATACCTTTAACGCTGGTTTTATGCTCCCATTAGGTTTCCAGAGTGCAGGTGCTGTGTACAACTGCATCACCTGCCAGTACGACTCCTGTGAATTCCCACTCGACTGTCCAGGTGCGCACATCATTTTATAGGCGACCGATTTTGTTACATCACAGCTAAAGAAGATGTGCTAATCCACACTTGACAGGCCTTATATTCCCCTCATAAGTCCTGATCCCCGAAATGCTCCGTGTTTGATCCTTCAAATGCTCTCAGCAAAAAAAAAAAAAAAAAGTCAGGATTTGAAAATGAGACGGTGGAAAGGTTTTATTTCCATACATTATATCTTTTTGCGCAGAGCCCTCAAGGTTCGCTTTAAGTCGATGACTTCTTTATATGGGGTGACAGCTGACTCCCACACACCGTGGTGTTCATATCACCCCTGTACAGCTCAGCCGATGTTTAGCATATCATCACTTTTGCTGCACTCCTCAGAGACTAGGCTTAAGTATTATCATTAAGGAAGGCTCAGACTGCAAGCGCTGCCTTCTCTGAATCTTATCTGTGTGCGTGCGTCTGTCTGTGTGCATGTGGGCGGCTGTATGTTTATTTCAGTTGAAGAAATTGAAGTAATGGAGAACCACAAGGCCCAAATGTGGTGTGATGTGGCATTTGACCTACCAAGTGATATTGAGGTGATCTGGAGGTTTGCAGAAGAGGTATGTTAAAAATATAACAGGCTGTGAAGTTCAATAGATGTGCTTTGGAAAGATTAGCTAAACATCTTTTTTGGGATCATGTACTATAGTCATAAATAATTCATACTATCAGGTTTTTGTCCAAAATAGTATACTAAGGATTCCAAGAGACAGCAACAAAATACCCTAAAACATATATTAATGTGTTAGAACTTTTTTGGATAGGATTTACCTCTTAAAATGTGAAGCAAACTTAAAAGTTACAAAATCCACCAGAAGGGGGGGAAAAAAACTATTCAAAATGTGAAATCAGAAGAAATAAATGCCATATTACTACAAAGGATTACAACAAGTTTAATGTGACTTATTTACAAAACACAATGGTGAGCT